TATCATAGAGTTAGTTGAGAACTATTCTTTCCTCTTCTGTTTTTTGAAACAGGCTGTGAAGGATTGATTTAATTAATCTTTAAACATGTAGTAGAACTCACCAGTGAAATGACATGGTCCTGAGATTTTAATCATGGATTTTATTTTTTAGTATTACCAAGTCAACCTTTTTATTGTTATACATCTGTTTAGATTCTTTCATTTTCACATTATCACACTCAGTAGTTTGTGTCTTTTTAGAAGTTTGCCCATCTCATCTAAGTTATCTAATTTGTTGGTTTATGAATATGCATATAGTACCCTTTTAAATCTTTCTGTTTCTTTAAGGTTTGCAGAAATATTTCATTCCCAATTTTAGTAATTTGCATCTTTCCTTTTTCTTGGTTATTAGCTAAAGACTTGTAGATTTTGTTTTCAAAGAAATATTTTAATCAGCTGATTTTCTCTGTTGTTTATTGTTTTTCTATTTCCTATTTTACTTATTTCTTCTCTAGTCATTTTTTTCTTATCTCTACTTGATTTAGGTGTAGTTTGCTTTATCATTTTCTAATTTCATAAATAGGTTATTGTTTGGTATCTATTTTCTTTTTTTCTTAAGGACTCTTCCCACACTCTATTGGCTTGTAGATGGTCTTCTCCTCCTGTGCTTGTAGTCTTTTCATTATGTGTGTCTCTGTGACCAATTTTTTCCTTGTATAAGGACACTAGTCACTTGGATTAGGATTCCCCCCCCCCAATGACTTCATTTTAACTTAATTTTTTTCTGTAATACTCTGTCTCCAAATAGATCCACATTCCTAAGTCCTAGGGGTGAGGACTTTGGCTTTTATTTATTTATTTTGCCTTTTTGTGGGTCATAATCCAACCCACAACATCTGAAAAAGTTTGATTGATTGAAAATATTTAGAACCTCTGGATGATTCTGTTTTCTTTCAAAGAGAATCCTTTTAGATTTAACATATAATTAGAACAGGTAAATCACTTTAATACACTCACAAATTTAGATGCTTCTATTAAATAAGTCCTTTTAAGGACTTGTCTGTATGTTTCTCTGTGTATCATCTTTCATTGGTCCTGACTGAAAGCCATGGTTATTTGCCAGAGTTATAACACCTGTCTTCTGTCTTTTTTTTTTCCTTTCTTCTTCTTCTTCATTCCTCTTTTGGTACTAGATATTGGCTAACAGGCCTAGGCCTTTTTATTTATTTTATTTTATTTTGAGACAGGTTCTTTCTAAGTTATCCAGACTGACCTCGAAAATGCAATCCTCCTGCCTCATTCTCAGAGTTGCTGGGGTGACAGGCATGCACCACCATGTCTAGACCAATATCTATCTTCTTAATTCCAGTTTTTTTTTTTATTGAGGTGGTTTATTTTCTCAAGGTTATCATAAAATTTATTGTTCTGTGAATTTGGGAGTACATATATATTCAGTCCACCTTATGGAGGAATTTTAAGTGCCTGTTGCTAAGTGAAAGAAGCCAGTATGAAATGTTCTATATTGTGTTAATCCAACTCTGTGGCTTTCTAGAAAAGCACAACTACAAAGAAAATAAAGTAAAAAATAAAAAGTGATTTTCAAGGTTTGTGGGCAAGAGGGAAGGGATAAATAGGAGGAGCTCATGGGATTTTTAAGGCAATGATACTATTATTTATGCTGTTGTAATGGTGGATGTTATGCATTTGTCAAAACCCGTAAAACTGTATAGTGCAGTGTGAATGCTAATATGAATTATGGACTTTAGTTAATAGATCAATATTAGTTCTTCAGTGCTAAACATTTACCACACCAATGCAAGCTGCTAAAAATAGGAAACACCCTGAGTGCAAGGAAAGTGTATATGGAAACTGTGTGTGCTTTCTTTTCAATTTTCTATAAACCTAAAAGTGTTCTAAAAACTAAATCCTACTATTTTTTAAAAACTGCATCCTCTCTTTTTTTATGTAGTCCTTTTAATTTTATGCACAAATGTCATAAAATGAAAAATGGTGGACCAGCCAGTGTAGGGTAGAAGTGTTAGAATTAGTCTTTGCAAATATTTCAGGGCAGCTGCATCATGTGGATGTTAGTTTTATCATCTGCAAGATGAAAGCAGTGGAGTACTTTGTTAATTGCTGTGTGCAGTTTTACTATTAAAAGAGAACACAATGAAATATTAATACCTGCTCTACTGCAGATTGACCTTGAAAACATAATATCTAAGTGAGAACAGCCAGATGCAAAAAGGAATTATATGATATGCAGTCTCATATCTATCATACAAAGAATATGCAGAACAGTTAAATCCATGGAGATGAAATGAAGATGAATAATATCAGGGGCAACAGGAGAAGGAAAATGGAGAGTGACTGATTCATGAGTACAGAATTTTGTTTGGGGATGAAAAGAAATGTTTTAGAACTAGAGAGTGATCACATTGACAAAGCATATAGTCTAATACTTATAAATTTTATACTTTACAAAGATTAAAATGGTAAAGTTTGTATTGTATTATTGCAACAAAAAAAGAAAGTAGGAAAAAATTCCACAAATTATTGAGTTGAAACTTTTCAGGAGCAGTGGTTGAAAACAAAGCCTTTTATTGTATATTAAAATAATTTGTAAAATTTTAATATTTCAGGTAATTGAGAACATACATGTGACTATATCGTATATATATATATATTTGTGTGTGTATATATTTTTGTAGGCTATATTTTACCAAAACTCTTAAGTACACTGATAAAGAAAATTTTTTGAGTTTGACTAAAGAAAATGTATTTCCTACAGCATATAAAGAAGATGAGATAAACTTTGACTATCCCAAATTTGGGGAAAAAAATAACAATGTTTGGGATATAACTGTTAACAGGATTTAGAAGGGAAAAAAAGAAATAATTGAGACCAAACTTAAAATTTTACACAAAGATATGTTTTTTCCTTGTTTATTTCCATGAGCATATATATATGGTTTTGATATGAATAAAAATATTAATAATTTGTCACTCTGCTTTAAGAAATGCTAATAATCACCTTTTTTAGAAGTCATGCTTTCTCAGCAAGTCTTTTTTTTTTTTTTTTTTTTTTTGAACATTATTTTCCATTTAGGAATAAGATTTTTTTTTTCTTCCTGAAGTAGTCTTTAGAGTCTTCATGGTCAACATAATTTTATGTATTTAAAAAAATGCATAATAGATGGCTATCATAGTTATAATTTTTCCTGCCAAAACAAGATAATGAGAAAAAAATCAAAATATTAAATTTTGTTGCATTTGAGTGATTTGGTAATCAATATATATTGATGTTAAATCCAAAGTAAAACAAGAGTTTTTTTTTTCTTTAATTATATGTGATTTTGTATAATTCTTAACCTACGCATATAGTATGGCTTTAAATTCACACACACACACACACACACACACACACACACTTTTTTTTTTCTTTTCTTTTTAACACCCCAAATAATCAAGGAATTACTTCAGTTAACACCCAGGCCTCTCTCACTTTGGAGTCAACTTTAAGAATCTTCATGACCAACATAATTTTGGTGAAACCCCTGTGTGTAAGCACAAAGGGGTTTCAAATGGGTTCCCGATCAAGGAACCAAAAAATGTAAGCACCAAAAAAATATAAGTAGTTAAGCCTCTTCTACAAGGCTCCTGGGTTGCTATGGAGGTGGTGGAGGAGTTTTCCCTCTACCTTCTTAGGAATTCTGCTAGGGCCCTGGAAACTAAACTGACAAAAGGCATATTAGTGAGAAAATACATATACACAGTGAAGGATATGGAAAATAGACCCAGGACATTTTTTCCTAGCTGCAGCTGTTTCCTCACCAGACTTGTCCAGTAGTAAATTGTAGCTTTTTTTATTTAAGGGCCCAGGCTTCAGTCAGAGTAGGGCAGGAAGGGAAAATGTCAAAGAACTCTCACCTGAGTAGCACTTAACTCCCTACCATAATGGATCAGCTGATTCTAATGCAGTAAACTCTAGAAACTTCCCTACCTACCCTTCTGTCCTACCCTAATGCATCAGCTGATCCTAAAAAACCCTAGGAATTACCTTTCTGCCCCACCCTAAATGAGGCCTATAAAACTCAGACCCTTGGCTAGGCCAGTTTGGTTTTTCTGTCCAAGGTGACCCTCTTGGATGTTTGACTGACTCCTCTGCTGAATAAAGAAGAGCTTGCTGATCCCAGGTTGGCTTCCTGTCCCCATTCTTTGTGCTTACAGTTTTTGGTTTCCTGACCTGGAACCCACTTGAAACCTCTTTGTGCTTACAAAAAAAAAAAAAAAAATCGAAAAATCTAAGCATTGGTCAGAAGAATGAGGCTTGAGCACCATCTTAAGCTGAGCAAAGGTGTAGTGTTTTGGGTTCTGGTTGGTGGGCTCCTTGTGGGCAGGGAGGGGAGAAAGTGTCTGGTGAGGAACAGCTGTCTATTTGGAGAGCAGAGTCTCTCAGCTCATCAGAGTAGTCTCTGCAAGGAGCTGTCTTCCTAGTTCAGAGACATCTTTACACATGGAAATTTTCTTAATAAAAGGGGAAATTTAAAGCTAGGCATGGTAGTGCATATCTGTAGTCTCAGGGGCTTGGGAGGCTGAGGCAAGAGGATCACAAGTTCAAAGCTAGCCTCAACAACTTAGTGAGACCTGTTTCAAAAAAATCAAAGAGCTGGGGATGTGGCTCAGTGGTTATGTGTTCCTGGGTTCAATTCCTGGTACCAATAAATAAATAAGTGGGGGAATTTATACTCTTTTTACACAGAGGAAAACAAAACCGCTTTCCCTACCTCTGCTGTTGCTTAGTTTCCATTAGCCCAAAATAGTCCACGTGTCAGAGATACATGCTTTGAGGCTGCATATTCTGGTATCCTTCACTTTTTCTTAGTTGAACCTATTTATGCAAAGTGAGTTAATTATAGTAAATTAACTTCAGTGGACTTACTGATGAGCTAAATTTAGAAAATGGGTTGATGTTTGCCAGGGAAGACTGTTCTCAACCTGTTCCCTTTTTGTCTATGCAGGAAGGAGGTGGATCTGTCTTCTGCGGGCAAGGCGGGTGTTCTCATTGGCTACTGTCCTCAGCAGGACGCCCTAGATGAGCTCCTGACCGGTTGGGAACATCTCCATTATTACTGCAGCCTACGGGGGATTACAAAGCAGTGCATCCCTGAGGTAAGCATCCCTAGCATTTTTCCAAAAAGAAGGACCCATTGAGGAATGCTTAGTTAGCACCTCTGGCCCCAAAGTCTCTCTTACTTTATAAGAAAAAGGAGCCATAACATCGAGTAAGGCTTTAGTATCAGAAAGGCCTTTTCCATTATGATTGTAAAAAAGGAGACATTAAAATATGGTTGTATTAATGATATTATTTATTTAAAATGTGTCTGTGAGACATGAGAAAGAAGTTAAATGAAAATAACATAATTTCTGACTTTGTATCTTCCTTTTCTCTAAATGTCTTTTATAATTACTGGACTATTAATTTATATTCAAAAGCACATATAGACTGGGTATGTCCAGAGCTTACAGGGGAGAGATCACAGAATGTATATGAAATTTTGGAATGGATAATTTCCTGGTGAGCAGGCCCACAGATTCCTGCAAGGAGTCTCATTCTGAGTGGCCTCAGGAGACGGAAGGAAGAGTAAGATCCGCAGGACCACCCAGACCACCGCATATCATTGAGAGAGGAAGGAGAGTCTAGTGTAATTGAGGCAAGAGACTGCTGCCACTTCTCTTGATGGGAGCAGTGGTCAGGGAAACAGTGGGGAGAACTTTGATGGACAGATCAGCAAATGTTCCAAGTAGAGAGTACTGGAATAGCAGTTGCTGCATGCACAATTTTACCTTTTCTGCACCTCATTTCTGGATTCTGCACTAGGAGCAGAAAAAAAATTAGCTTATGTGATATTCTATTAGAGTCCATTGGAACACTGTAGGACTCACAAGAGACAAAACTAATAGTCATCGCCTTCACCAGTCCATGAAAATTCATTCACTGTGCTGTTTTTGTAATGCTTCAGCCTTCATTTCTTATTCATGCTCTGTGACTTCAAGTGAATCCAGAACAGACCCTCTACCTCATTGTGGAGACCCTGGACCCTTTATGCACCTCCCATCTTAATAAAGCAAAGAAAACTAACCACTCTGCAGGAGACCTGCTCACTGCAGTTAAACAGATCTTAGAATCCAGCACTAATTGTTGGCTCCATCTTTAATAGGCATTTTCTCTGTCAGCTCCCCCTTGTTAGTTTTTGATTAAAGAGGCAGATGCTTGGCAAATGCTGTAAGCTGGCCCCTTTGCTGTCTAGGGGGAAAGTGCCTGTGAAAAGTCTCTTAATATAGAAAGGCTTGGTGCTTCCTGTCATCCAGGGCAATTGCCTCCTGATTCTCAGCTGTCTTACAGCCTTGTTTTCTGAACTCCTCCACGGAGAAGTTATTTTAATGGCCACCAATTAAGAACTGGCTTTATTTCTTTCTTGAGACTGCAACTGATTTTGCAGACAGTATTGCTACTTGCTCGCTCAGAGGTTTCTAATAGATCAGCACACTTTTCCATCTGCTCCCAAAGGCAATAGCTCCCTTCCTAGCAAATACCCCTCTCCTGTAAATGGTGGGAATATATAGAAATGTAAACCAGTTTGTTAGCTTTTTGTTTCTGTAACCAATATATCTGACAGAAGCAACTTAGAGGAGGAAAAATTAACTTTGGTTCATAGTTCTAGAGGTTCAGTCCATGGTCAACTGACTCCATTGCTCTGAGACTAAGTTGAGGCAGAACATTATGGTCTAAGAAAGAAAGTTGCTTAGCTCATGGCAGCCAGAAAGCAAGAGGGTGGGGGGAGAGGAAGAGGAAGAGAGAGAAAGGAGCCCAGATCAGATTTAGTACAAGGCCATAACCCCAGTGAGCCACCTCCTCCAGCCATGCTCCACCTGTCTATAGTTACCACCCAGTAGTCCATTCAAGTTAATAATCCATCAAATGGATTAATCTACTGATAGCCCTCATAATCCAATCTTTTCACCTCTGAATATCACTGCATTGCTTAACATGTGAACTTAGGAGTGGGAGGACATTCCTACATACAAATCATAACAAAATGGGTTTATGTGCTCTGAAATAATTAGCACAAGATGACCTAGGGAATTATTATAAAATAACAGAAAATAACCATTGTAGCTAATGCAGTCATGCACTGTTTATATATAATAACTTTATTATTAAAATTCTAGTCAACCACAGACCATGTATGTGATGGAAGTCCCCTAATATAATGGAACTGAAAAATTCCTATCACTTAGTGACATCACAGTCATCATAATATGGTAACACAATGCATCACACGTGTTTGTGGTGGTGCTGGTATACATACCTGCACTGTCAGCCACATAAAATTTTTTTTGTAACACCAGGATACAAAACAAAAAACAGTTGATAATAAATGACTGTTACTGGTTTATATACTTACTACATGATGTTTTTATGATTAGAGTATACTCCCATTTACAAAAAACAGTTTACTATAAGGCAACATGCCACGTGACACAAGCAAAAGCCTCAAACATCTTGTGATTACTGAGTCTTGATTGCATTAAGAGGCCCTATCAAGTGATTGAGTTATACTATCTAGGTTTGTGTAAATAAACTCTAAAGAGTTCATCGGATGATGAAATTTTCTAACAATTCACTTCTTAGAAAGTGTCTTGTTGATAAGCAATGCACAACTGTATTCCAGTATCTATTCTTTTTCTAGGTTATGTTTTTATAGTATTTTACAGTCAACATGTAAAGTAGATAACAGGATTACTCTTCATTTTGTAAATAGAGAAACTGAGGCACAGAGCACTTATGCAAGTTACCTGGATAGCTTGTGGCAGAATTTTGTTTTGAAATTATGTAAACCAGCTCCAGAGTACATGTTCTTCATTAAGACACTACCCTTATCCTTAGTGCATTCTGGTTGCTAGTGACATAAAATGAAATTCTTTGTGCCACCAACAGCTCAGTCTTACATTTTATTCATTGGAGTGGTCAAGGGAGTGGAAATCACATGGGTTTACTGAATGGCTCCTCTAACCCTGAGCTCTGCATAGTTGATTTATCTTCCACTGGCTCAGGTTGGGACCCCATGTGCACCTCCCCTCCAAGCTTTCAGGACACAGACATATAATCATGAGATTTTTTTTTTTTAATTCTTTTTAGCTCATCTGCAGTGCATGTTGTTTATTTTCTCTAGGCTCCATCTATTGTTCATGGCAACATGGACAGCCACCTTGGGTCTTTTGTGATTCAAGGAGATCATCCTATGCTTGCTGAAAGTCCCCCAGATCAGCCTCACACCCCACTACTTCCCTACAACCCTCAGAGCCCAAGCCCTGTGCTAAACTTGATCCATGTTTCAGGGCCCCCAGCCCACCTATACTCCAGCTAGCTGGTCATTTTTGTTACAGTCACATCCCTCACTCCTGAAAACCTTCACAAGTCCAGGAAGGACTTGAATTCAGGTCCCACAGGTTGAAGTAATGATTTCCAATTTTCCTTCAGCTTGAATTCAGGTCCCACGGGTTGAAGTAATGATTTCCAATTTTCTCTCTCTTTCATTATGCACATTTTGTATGGTGTACATATTTGAGCCTGAATTCAATTAACCTGGTAAAGAATTTTATATTAAGTTACAATCAAATGATTCAGGAGACAAGGACTACAATGTCTGGGATGCTAGAGAAAGAAAGCATGTGAGAGGAGTTAATGGGGGTGGGTAATTTCAGGGCTAATATCAAAGCCAAGCAATTGAGCAACACTTTGAATTAGGATGAGATGTAGCAGATTTCCATTTTAGTTTTCCCTGGGATTGAATATGTAGAGTCTTTACCGATTTTATTTTTTGTGAATACGCACAAATTCCTTCCAGGAAAAACACTGTGTGTGGCTTCTCAACATCCTCTATAGCCATACATTTGTCTTGAGTTTTTTTCGATTCATAGTTTTAAAAGAATGAGCTAGAAGTCACAAGACGGGGGATGAAAGAGTAAAGGTCATCTGCAAAGGGAGGCTGAGAAAATAATAATTTCTATCTAAAAGTCTCTTCTCACTTATTTTATTCTTACATGAAATTTTGAAGTGATCCTCATATTTGCTAGTAGATCACTTCTAGCCTTGGAATTCAACAATTGTTTAATATTTTCTGGGCAATCTATTTTGGCTCCAATGATAAAAGCCCTACCATGTGGCAAGTGTGATGGAGACATGGGGAATATAAAGACAAATAAACCCTGATCTTTTGCCTTAAGTAAGATACTATTTCTAGAGTTTTCTGGGAGAAAAATAACAGACTGTATAACTTATGACATTTTGGGTTTTTGGGGGGAGAGTAACAGATTCTGTAACCTGTGACATTTTGGGCCATAGATAGTATTTTGCCAGCCTTGATTGCTAGGACATTATGTTTGCCATTATTTTGATAGCAGTGCAGAGTGCAGAAAGACGCCAACAAAATACTTCTTCTTAGGCCATTTTCAGTTATTTTCTGAAAATGTAACATTTAGAGAGCATTAGATCAAACTGATATATTTGTTCCTGTCTCTTCTGGAATCTTTGCTGTGGTTAACTGATTGAGGATTTGGAGACTGCAGCATTTAAGATTTTGTGATATTGGAAAAAAAGCCATACTTTCCCTGGTTTCATAAAAAATAAGCCATAATATCTTGATGAATTTATTCAACATTTCTCTAATTAGTCTGATGTACATTTCTACAAAATCAGATTTTTATTATTATATTTTACTTCATTTGTCTGTTCATCAGCTTTCATTTATTGCTGATCTTTATAATGTATGAGAGTAAAATAAAAACTGTCTAATTATATACATTATATTTTTTCATTATTTTGTTGACTTTTATGGTTTGAAAAAAAAAAAAACACCCAAAATTTATTTTTCCCCATGTGTTATTGCTGCTAGCCTTAGAGGTGTTAACATTTGCTTTTTTCCAAAAGACAAACCTTTTAAACAATTTCTGCAATGCTCCTAGTCCTCCTTGTGGGGACAAAAGCTTCCTTGGTGGGGATCCTCCTGTGTTCCCTTCCTTCATCATTCATAGAATGTTTTTCCCAGGACTCAACTTATACTTCTTGATGGTTGCTTTCTGGGGCAATTTTGGGTGAATGCATTAGCACCACTGTCATTGCTCTAGTTCCTGCAGTGTCAGGCATGTGTCTCTTTATTCATATGACACTTCATTAATATTTGTGCTTGATTATTTTGAGTAAAGTGTTCTATTTGAATTTTTATTCATTTAAATTTTATTCAGTTTATGTCAATTGATCAAGTGGGCTGAATGCTGCCAGGAAAAAGATAGTTTGTTTATATAAAACAACCTGGAGACAACAAGTAGCCTGTTTTCCTAAGAACAAGCAATTGGCCTTGAGTTCACTTTCTTAGGCAGATAGCTGGAGATATGAGATTGCTTCTTCATGAATTCTTTGGGCCTGGAAGTCTGTTTTCTCGACTTATGCTATTTGAACACAAGATCAGTTCTGGAGCTTTGTAGTTCAATTTCTAAATTATTCAGAGATTATACAAATAAAAAAATAGAGTAAATTTGTGTGAAAGTTTTTATTGGGAAGTATTTACAGCACTGTTATATTTTAAAGCCTCTTAATATCATCTTATCCATTTATCATAATTTTTATGTTTATCAATAAATATATATTCATTAGAGGAAAGCTAAATTTTACAAGCTATTTAGGACACACGAGTATTATCTTCATATTCCTATGGAAGTTTTCCTCTTTTCCTAAATTTGAATTAAGGTATGATATTGGAAGACCATACTTTCAGAGAAGTTTCTCTGATCATGTTGAGTACTGAAAACCATGAGGAGGAGCTGAGTGGAAAAACAAACAAACAAACAAACAAACAAACAAAAAAAAAACCCATGATACTGGCCAGTTTGGTTGTGTAAGATGCTACGACATGTGACTGATTCAGTAAGGGTCACTCCAAGTGAATTGGGCTGGCTACTAAATAACCACACAGAGACGGAAAAAATCTTTTGGGGGGGGTTCAGTAACAGCTCCTCAACCTCAGCTCCCACAAAGGAGGCAAGAGAGGCAGGCAAAAGAGAGCAAGCATGCCTGAAACCCTCCTATTTATTGGGGAGAAGCCATTCAAGAATATTCCACCCAAACAAGGCAAGGGATTGTGTTCCAGCAAACGGGGGTGAGGGGTATAGCCCAGTCCCATTGGGTGACGCCCACTCCCAGAGCTGCACTCCCTTGCGAGCAAAAGTGAGGTCTGCCTGCTTTGGTGCTGGGAGCAGAAGCCAGGTCCACACCTTCATTATCAAGGATAAGGGGACTTGCTCAGCTCCTACATGCTCAGCTCTTGTTCATGGCGGCCCCCCGACAGTAATGTCTAAAACTGAATCTATATTAATATTTAAATTATATCATTATGGTCATGAGAGTCAAATAAAACTGCAACATTTTAAATTATGCAGAATTGGGGAAAAAAATTGCCCAATTTGGCTCCCAGTATAGGAGATGATGGAACTGGAAACATCATAGACTATGGTGCCAATTACAGTGGGAAGTGCTGACTTAAGTGCTGTGAGATGCATGTGACACCTGCAATAGGGGATCAGTATTTATGCGGAGGAGAGACGAGATGAGTTGGATTTTCAAGGGTGTGTGAAAAGAGGGCAGATTGAAAGAGAGGAGAGGTAGAGAAGCTGTGTGCATGGGGTCCCAGGAGAGTCAGAATTCCCCTGTGGACAAGAGGGGAGCTTTGGTGAATGAAATCACCATCCTTATTACTTGCTAAAATGGTTCCCAGAAGTTGGGAACAAAGTACTCCCCATTCTTTCCCTACCTCTGGATACTGAACTCTGAGTGTGCAAACTCTTATCAATGGTTTCTTAATGTACAGTGGATATTTGTTTGTTTGTGCTAATATTGAAAAGTCCTCTCAGTTCTTTCCTCCCATGAGGTTTTTTGACAGTTCACTGTCTTGGTTTCATTCCTGTCCAATTCCATCTCAGTGTTCATTTTGGTTTACCTTCTTTCTGCTCCTCTTAATGTGGACATTAGTCTGGACTCAGAACTAAGTCTGTTTCTTGCCTACTATTTTCCTAGCTCCAGACCCAGGGGTTTTGGGGATCAGTCAGAAATCTGCAGGCACAGAAGATACCCCCCTGTTCTTTCTCAATTTCTCCCTATATCATGAAGGGAGTGGTCCAGGGAATGTACTTGACCATCCATCCATGTGAGGGGTGGACAGGGGTGGTGGGAAGAAGGAGCAGGAGTCAGGGCTGAGACCTGGTGTCTGGTGGCATGGTGAGGGGTGGCATGCTCACCAACGGCTCCTCTCTTCCAGGTGGCTGGAGACCTTGTGAGGCGCCTGCACCTGGAAGCCCATGTGGAGAAACCTGTGGCTACCTACAGTGGGGGAACCAAGCGGAAGCTCTCCACAGCCCTGGCCCTAGTAGGGAAACCTGACATTCTTTTATTGGTGAGTAGTGGAAATACCAGTAATATGTCATTGTCTTGAAATGAGATGCCCATTGAACATGTACTTGTGAACGTAGTTTAACTAAATAGAATTCTTGTAGGAAATAACTTCAGAATTCACAACACTGATTTTACAAACTAATGAACTGTTCTGCCCTAACTCAACGTTTCCCAAACAAAATGTAAAACACTACTAGACTTATATAGAAATAAGACATGTATCTTTTGGGAGATTCACTTACCCTTGTCAAATTCAAAAAAAAAAAATTAATTTTTTTTTTACTTGTAGATGGACACATACCTTTATTATTCATTTATTTATTTTTATGTGGTGTTGAGGCTCAAACCCAGTGCCTTACACGTGCAAGACAAGCACTCTGCCACTCACCCCCAAACCCAGTTGTCAATCAAATTATAACATTAAAATTATATTAAAAAATAGAATTCACTTCTAATCTGAAAAATCAATAGGTATTTTTCCTCTAGCACAATGCTTTTAAGTCTTTTTCTACCAGCCGATATATGTTCATCATAACTGTAATGACACATATCTATGGTAAATCATGAGGATGGATGTGAGGGATTACTATAATTTAGATGCAGATTCCCCAAAAGCCCATGTGTTAAAGCTTTGGCCCCACCCCATGCTGTGATTGGTAGTTGGTAGAACCTTTAGGTGGTGGGGCCTAGTGAGAAGTCTTTAGGTCATCCAGAGCTGCCCTCAAAGAGATAGTAAGACCTTGGACCCTTCTTCTTTATTGCTTCCTAACCATGAGGTGAGCAGTTTTGCTTCACCAAATGTTCCTGCCAAGACATATTGCCTGGTTGCAGCCCCAGAAGCAGCAGTGTCAACCAGTTATTATCTAGAACCTTCAAAATTGTGAAACAGAATAAATGCTTTCTCTTCATAAGTTGTTTATCTCAAGTAGTTCTTATAATGATGAAAAACTGGCTAACACATAGATGGCCTGATGGATATGGAAGGGAGGGAAGAGAGTTCCAGAAAAGGTATAGCATGCGCTATGGCCTTGAGACAAAGCATTCTGTAATCCATCTGGGAACTGCAATCAATTCTAAATTAATTCAAAGCATTAGTTGGAGGTGATACTGCCCATAAACAGAGCCAATTGCCTTACATTTCAAAAACAGCTCTAGCTATACATAATGCCATGCAAACAGTAAGTAGAATATTGTTCTTATGGTATAGATTAGATTCTAATCACTAATGTTCACCTCAGGGCTGCACTTTGGCAGACTGTCTGATGGGTGTCAAAGAATATAGGGAATAAAGCAGATTCTCTTTTCTGTTCTTGTTTGCCAGATGAAAACAGCCTTTCAGTGGGAGAGTTAATGGGGATTCAGAAAGTCCATGCTGAACAATGTGGTCCTGTCATTTATTGTCCTTTGGAAACTCACCTGAGTATTGTTTTAATTCATCCAAGTTTGCTATTGAAAAGTCCCAAATCAAGGACTAATGCATAATTTTATATTCTGAAACCAGATAATACAAGTTAACATTTTCACCATTCTGCAGTTCCCAAATGGCATTATCCTCTCAAGGTGAGACAGTCTGAGCCTTAGCTCCTCCTAGAGGATGTCTCTGTGCTCAGCCTGGAGCATCTGAGCATCTCCTCAGTCAGATGAAGGGGATCTGCTGTATGGTTGTGCTCTTGACTTATGACAGATCTCAGCTTTCTCTTCTTTTATCTTCCTTGCTCTCATTCCCATTGAATGTCCAGGACTCTGGCACAGTGGCCAGGTGAGGACCCTGGAGTCCTAGTGAACTGGTGTGGATTTTGCTTTTGAAGTTCTATAGCATATGACTTTGCATGTTCTAAGCCTGTTTCCACCTTGTCTGATATAATCCACATGAAGTGCACAGCCAAATGCCTTGTGCATAATAAATCTACATTAAGTGTTTAGTAACTGGGATGATGGTGACTGTTCAGAGCATCAGTTTCAAACGATGGTTTTGAAGTTCTCCGCTGAGAGACAAGGAAGGGCTCTTGGAACTCATGCCACAGTGACAATCCGGAAAATTAAAAATTAACCACCCAACCCTTTTACTGAACGATGTAGGACTATATTCTTTACTTACTATTGTAAATAGTACACACATAGTACTTGATTTGTAGAAAAAGCCAGGTGTTTATTTTCCTGTTCAGTGACTTTTCTCCAACACTTCCCTTATGTTTTTTTTTTCCCCATCTCTGAGGAAGTTGATGACCCAAAGCTCTTAAGAAAAATGTGTTCAGTGCTGACGGACTACAGAAAACCCAGAAATGCATTATATAGCTAGGCAAGATTTCTCTCCAAAATGGTTCAGATAGCAAGTGTTTTGGAGTTTATTGAAGGAAAAAGCTTCAGGTTCCAAGAAATTCCAATTTATTTGATGTTGCTAAATAAATGAAGCCTTTTTCTACTATCATATCTCTTTCCAGGAGACATCATTCTAAAAGTTTATGGAGGTGGAGGATTTATTTTAGAGACATTGAGGTTGGCTTATCTAAGCAGATTGTGAAGGGAATCGGGCTAATGAGAAAACATATCCCCAACCCCCTATTTTTAAGGAGCCACCATTGACAAGTAAAAATTGTATATATGTAAAGTGTACAGTATAATGTTTTGATACACACGCTGTAAAATGGTTACCACAATCAAACTAATTCATATATCAAGCCCCTCACATAGTGACCTTTTTTTTTTTTTCAGTTAGTGGTAAGAAAACTTAAGATGAACTGTCTTAGCAAATTTCAAATGAACAATACAGCATTGTCAACTACAGTCCTTGCTAGTCCATTTGTGGTACTGTAACAACATATCACGGACTGGGTAACCTTATAAAGAAAAGAAATATATTTTTCATAGTCCTGAAGGCTGGAAGTACAGGACCAAGGTACCATCAGTTTTGGGGGTCAGTGAAGGTCCTGTCTCTGCCTCCAAGATGGCACCTTGAACTAAGTATCCTCCAGAAATGCTGTGTAAGCCCTCCATCAGGGCACCTTGTACTCATCATGAGTGGGAAGACTTCCTAACTCAATCACCTCTCAAAAGCCATGCTTCCCAATACTGTTGTATTGGGGATCAAGGAGACAAAAAATTCAAATCATAGAACTCCTATGCTGCATATTATGTCTCCAGAATTTATTAATTCCATATATGTTAGTGTTTTGTCACTGTGACAAAGACCTGAGAAAAACAGCTTAGAGGAAGAAAGATTTATTTTGCTCATGGTTTTAGAAGTTTCTGTTTGTGATCAGTGGGCCCCATTGCTCTTGGCATGAGATGAGGCAGAACATCATGGTAGAAGTACTTAGCAGAGGAAGGCTTTTCATCTTCTGGCAGCCAAGAAGCAGAGATAAAAGGGCTTGGGACAATATGGAGTCCCCAAGAGCATGCTCTTGATGACCTACCTCCTCCAACCATGCCCCACCTGCCTACATTCCCATCATGCTCAATCTTGGTAACTACTATTGTAATCTGTTTATACGCATTTGACTTTTCTAGATGGTACATGTGTGATCATAAAGTGGTTATCCTTTCATGTCTACCTTATCTCACTTAGTAAAACATCCTCCAATGCTACATATGTTGCTGGAAACTGAAGAGTTCCCTTCTTTTTAAGAAGGAATAATGTTTATTATATACACATGCGTGCACACACACATACACACTCATGACAGCGTGTTTTTTTCTCTTTTTGTGCCTTGCTTATTTCACTTAACATAGCATCCCCTAGCTTCTTTCATGTTGTCACAAATGATAGAATTCCATTCTTTTTTATTTCTGAATAATGTACTGTTGTGTGTACATGCCATGTTTTTATCTATTTATCTATTGATGGATACTTCTATTGATCCCATATATTGGTTAATGTATATAGTACTGCAATAAACATGGGAGTGCATGTTTTTTTACTCTTTGATATACTGATTTCCTTTTCATGTATTTAAAGTAATGGAATTTTTGGATCATATAATAGTTCTATTTTTACTTTTGAGGAAGCCCCATAATGGCTTACTAATTTACATTCCCACCAACAGTATATAAGGGCTACATTTTCTCCATAAATGCCATGATACAAATATTCACAGGGGTTTTGTATAATATCCTGTCAGTTTTCTTCATTCCTTTTCAATATTTTTCCTCCTCTGACTGAACAATTTTACACAACCTGTGTTCACATTTCCTGATTCTTCCATTTACTTGATCAAATCAGCGGTTGACACTCTTACATTTTCATTTTATTCATCACAGTTTTCTGCTCCAGGATTTCCACTTGGTTCTTTTCACATGACTTCTCTTTTTGAACTTGTTCATGTGTTGTTTTTCTGATTTTATTGCATTCTCTATTTATATTCCCTTTTTAACTCACTGAATTTCTTCAAGGTGATTATTTTCAGTTTTGTGTCTGGAGATTCTTAGATCTGCAGTTCAATGAAATCAGCTATTGGAATCCATCATAAGAACACAGAAACATCATGTTCTTCAGTGGTGTCGTGATTCTTTCTCCTCCTCCTCTGTGTCCTCTTGGTCATCCTCCTCTTCCTCCTCCTCCACCTCTTCCTCTGTGTTGCTTAAAGTCTTGCATTTCTTCTGTTTTCACAGTCTTTAATGGCTCTCTTTGGGAGAGAAACACTTTCCCCTGTCAGTTAGGGGGTGCATTCTGAGGCTCTCTTAGACCGTTTCTATAGGTGTGCACACTGCACACTTCTTGATCACTCATGATGGGGGAGGGGAATTCTTAGGATTATATGCCTTTGTCCCTCCCACAGTGGAATCTCATGCCAGCTTCTGAGAGCTTCCCATTTGCCCTCTAGGGCAATGCCCTGAAATGCTTGAGCTTGTGTGCTTTCTCCTAACTCTTTAAAAAACTGTGCTGGTTGCTTATGTGACATGCCTATTATACCTGCCCTATTGGGGGTCCTTTCAAGGGGCCACTAAGAAAGGCAAAGTGAGGCATTCAGAGTGCTTGTGTACTTGTGTACCGGTGTGAAGGACTCTAGAGAGAGACCTTCCAAGTGGCATAGCAGCAGGCTTTCTGGTGGAATTCCCAGAGTGGTTACAATGGCCCATGGCCTCTCTTCCCTACTTCCAGTCTCTTCCAATATCTCAGTCATTTAGGGGAGAGGAGAAAGAAGTGGGCCTCTTAAGTAGCATCCTGCACTCCACTCCTTTCCCCATTATCTTGGCTTTGTTGAGCAGAATGCAGACAAGCTGATGGAGAGGTACCTGCGACCATCAGAGAAGGGATTTCTTTCCTCATAACCAGTATCTGGCCTCATGTGATAGTGTATGTTCATATGTGTATTCATCAAATTAATATCATTGTGTGTTTTCTTTCCTCTAGGATGAGCCCAGCTCTGGAATGGATCCTTGCTCTAAAAGATACCTGTGGCAAACAATAATGAAAGAGGCGCAGGAAGGCTGTGCTGTGGTGCTGACCTCCCACAGGTGAGCAGAGCCCCCTCCTGTGGCTACTTCCTGAACAAATATGAGTAACAAACAATAGTTAGGGGAAAATATCCGCCTCCAGCCAGCACCATACACAGAAGTTCCTTCATCTTTACACTGTGAGGTTGATATAGTTGATGGTCCCCGTATGTAGCATAAGAGATTGAACCAGAGAGAGATCCTGTAACATAACCAAGGCCACAGGAGCCCGTGGGAGAGCTGGAGTTTGAGCCTGAAGTTTGGTAGCCACAGACCACACCCTGGCGTGGTCCATTACTGCTGGTCAGGGATGATTGATGGACTCCCTCAGTTAGTTCTTCCCAAGGGTTCCCAGCTCCTTTCTATCCAAGACCTCATATTCCAGTAGGTAGAATTATCTGAAATGAAAACTTAACATGTTACAAAATCTGGTCTAATATTTTACTCATTATGGATTTAATTGTGTTACTCAATTCTCAACCATTACCTCTTTTTAATTTTATTAGACATTGTTCTAGGCCTCATGGCAATACAAACATAGAGTTCAAAAAACCAGTACCTGGAGAGCAAGTAACATGAGGTGGCTAAAAATATCCTGAAGATACAATGGAGATTGGACTTTAAAGCTTAGTCTTGCCCCATCTCCCTGCCCAAGCTTAAATAAAATACTCTGTGAATCAAGTAACAAGAATGGTTAAGGATATGAGGGTTTTTTTTTTCCTTTCTTTTGGGGGAGGTACTAGGGATTGAACTCAGGGACACTCGGACACTGAGCCATATCCTCAGCCCTATTTTGTATTTTACTTAGACACAGGGTCTCACTGAGTTGCTTGAGGCCTTGCTTTTGCCGAGGCTGGCTTTGAACTCGAGATCCTCCTGTCTCAGTCTCCCAAGTTACTAGGATTACAGGCCTATGCCATCACACCTGGCCTTCTTTCTCTCTCTTTTTTTTAATGTGTTCTTTTTAGATACACATTATACTATATTGTATTTTGACATATTACACATACACTGAATATAACTTATTCTAATTAGGATCCTATTCTTGCAGTTGTACATGATGTGGAGTTATACTTGTCATGTATTCATATATGAACAAAGGAAAGTTATCCGATTCACTCTACTGTTTTTCCTATTACTATCCCCCTTCCTTCCTTTTATTCACCTTTGTGTAACCCAATGAACTTCTAATCCCCCCCACACACACTGACTCTCTTTGTATTTTAGGATCCACATATCAGAGAGAATATTCAGCCTTTGGTGTTTTGGGACAGACTTATTTCATTTGTCATGATAGTCTCCAGTTCCATTCATTTACTGGAAGATGCCATATTTCTTTCTTCTTTCTGGCTGAGTAATATTCCATGTGTATATATACCACATTTTCTTTATCCACTCATCTGCTCAAGGGCACCTAGGTTGGCTGCATAGCTTTGCTATTGTGAATTGAGTTTCTATAAAAATTGATGTGGCCATGTCACTATAGTATGCTGATTTTAAGTCCTTTGGGTATATACCAACGAGTGGGATAACTGGGTCAAATGATGGTTCCATTCTGGGTTTTCTGAGGAATCTTCATTCATACTGCTTTCCAGAATGGTTGCACAATTTGCAATCCCACCAGCAATGTATGAGAAAAAACATTAGCAATCATATATACAGCAAGAGATTTATATTCAGAATATAATGTCCATTATATTCTTTTCCTCACATTCTAAAGATTTTACTACATTTCCTTCATTCAAAATCCCAAACCTAGGCAATCCTTGATCTGCTTTCTGTCTATAATTATTTGCCTTTTCTAGATATTTCATATTATTGGAATTGTATGATGTGTAGGCTTTTGTATCTGCCTTCCTTCACTTACTATAATGTTTTTAAAGCTTATGCATGTTTCAGCATATATCAATAATTCACTCCTTTTCATTGCTAAATAGCATTCCATAGTATAATTAGACCACTTTCATGTATTCACCCACCAGTTGATGAATATTTGAATTGTTTCCAGTTTTGATTATTATGAATAAAATTATGCATATAATCTGGTAAATGTCTTTGTATATATAGGTAAATATTTTTATTTTTCTTGGATAGAGTCTGAAAATTGCATAGAAGGGTCAAATGGTAAATTGTGTTTACTACTTTAAGAAACAAACTAATTGGATTAAGGATCTTTGAATGTGCTTATTGGTTGTTTGTACTCATTCTTTGGTAAAATATCTATTAAAAATTTCCCCATTAAAAAAAAAAAATAGAGACAGGCATGGTGGAGCAAGCCTTTAATCCCAGCAGCTCCAGATGATGAGACAGGAGGATCACGAGTTCAAAACCAGCCTCAACAATGGTGAGGCAGTAAGCAACTCAGACCCTGTCTCTAAATAAAAAATACAAAATAGGGCTGGGGATGTGGCTCAAAGGTTGAATGCCCCCTGAGTTCAATTCCCAGTACCAAAAAAAAAAAAAATAGAATATGTTTAGGTTCACAGCAAAATTGAGAGGATGGTACAAAGATTTCTTTTATGACCCTCTCCCATTTATCAGTATGCTCCATGACACTGGTATGTTTGTTACAATTAATGCATACCTGCATCAATGCAGCATTATCATCCAAAATCCATAGCTGCCATTATCCTTGGTGTTGGACATTTTGTAGATTTAGAAAAATATATAATATGTTTCCACTATTAAAACACCATAGAGAATAGTTTCACTGCCCAAAAAATTAACTGTGCTTTACCTATTCATCTCTCCTTTCTGGCAACCAATAACTTTTTTTTTTTTTTTTTTACCTTTTCCATAGTTTTCTTTCCCCGTTTGACATATAGTTGGAATCATGCAGGATTATAATCTTTTTAGACTGGCTTCTTTTGTTTCCCCCACGTCTTTTCATGGTTTGACAGCTCATTTCCTTTAAACACTGAATAAAGTTCTGTAGTCTGGATGTACCAGTTTATTTCTGCATTCACTCACTGAAGAATACTACAAGAACTTCTAAGATTTGGCAATTATATGTGAACTGTTGTAAACATCCGTGTGCAGATTTTTGTATGTAAACTTGTTTCATCTTTTGGAGGGTAATACCAAGAGGTGTGATTGCATCATATAGTAAGAGTACATTTAGTTTTGTAAGAATCTGCCACTTATAATTATGTTTTCTGTCTGTATTTTTTACTTGTAAGAGGTTTTACCTCTACCTAACTACCTACCTACCTATCTACCTACCTGCATACCTATTGGACATTATATTCTGAATATAAATCCCTTGCTGTGTATATGATTGCTAATGTTTTTTCTCATTGGAAATGTAAACATTATAAACATTTTTTATTAAGTCTAATTTTTCATTTTTGTGTGGCTTGCATTTTGGGTGATACATCTAAGAACTCTTTGTTCTCAAGTCATGAAAATGTTCCTCCTATCTTTTCTACTAAGAATATTAAGGATTTTAGCTTTAAAGAGTCTTTGATATATTTTAAGCTAATTTTTTGCATATAATAAGAGGAAAGGAGTCCAAATTTACTTTTATGCATGTAGATATCTAATTATTTCAGCTCTATTTTTGTAAAGACTATCCTTTGTCCATTGAATTATCACGGTACATTTATTGAAAATTAGTTGACCATAATTTTAATATTAGTTGACCATAGATTTATTTCTGGACTCAATTATTATCCATTGACATATATGCCTATCCTCTCACTAGTATAATTCTTTTTTTTTTGGTACTGGGGATTGAACCCAGGGAAGCTTCACCACTGAGCAACATCCCTATCCATATATATATATATATATATATATATATATATATATATATATTATATATGATGTATACATGTATGTGTATATGATGTATAGATGGATGTGTATATGATGTATAGATGGATGTATATATGATGTATAGATGGATGTATATATGATGTATAGATGGATGTATATATGATGTATAGATGGATGTATGGATGTGTGTGTGTGTGTATGTGTGTGTATGGATGTGTGTGTGTGTGTGTATATGTGTGTGTGTATGTATATATTTTAAATATTGAGGCAGGTTCTCGCTAAGTTGCCTAGGGCCTCACTAAGTTGCTGAGGTTGGCTGTGAATTTGTGATCCTCCTACCTCAGCTTCCCAAGTTGCTGGAACTACAGGTACGTGCCACTGGTCCCACATCTAATTCTGTCTTGAGTATAGTGTCTTTTATAAAGTCGTGAAACATGCAGGAGAAGCCCTTCAGCTGTTTCTGTTACACAATTTTTCATTCACTTGAAAATTCTTTCTGTGGCTCATTTTAAATTTAATTCTGTTGTGATCCAAGGAAATACTTCTTTTTTTGTAATTTCCATTCTTTTAAATGGGTAAGGAGTTTTTAAAGGCCCGCCATAGAGGCTATAATTTGTTTTGTCTGTGAAGCAACAGATAATACATTCTTTTTTGTTTTGCAAATCATATAGTCTACTGCAAATAAAGCTCTGCTGTTGTAGTATGAAATCCACTGCAGACATTAGGTAAGTAAATGTGATTGTATTCCAGTAAAACCTAAATGAATAAGGCGGCAGGCTGGATCTGGCCACACAGCCGTAGTTTCTGCACATGGCCTAGCCTGCAGCCTGTCCTAGGGAATGAAATGGTCCTTAGTGGGAAGGAATGTGTATTCTGTGATTGAGCCAGTTAGGGTTAGTGTTGAGAACTCTGTCTTATTGTGGGTGCTTTGCCTTGGTGTTCTAATAGTATTGAGAGTGAAATATTGAAATCTTAATGTATTACTGGCTTTTCCTCCTTTACAGTCTGTCAGTTTTTTCTTTGTATGTTTTGAAGCTGTGATTAGATGGATAAGCACTCTTAAATGTTATCTTCCAAATATTTTTACCCTCTTATTAAGAAATGTCCTTTTTTACCCCTCATTGCATTTTTTTATTGTTTTAAAGTCTGTTTTATCCAGTGATTTCACTGCTACTACTGTCTTTGGCTTACTATGTGTATGACATATCTATGTATATTAAAAACCTTTTTACTTTCAAATGATT